AGGGGGTGGAGACAAGGGACAGTGCTTTTGGATGGTGGTAGGGGTGGAGACAAGGGACGGTTGCATCGGAGGTGGGGTAGGGGGTGGAGACAAGGGACGGTGCTCGGAGGTGGGTAGGGGTGGAAGCCAAGTGGATAAAGCACTTGGAGGTGTAGGGGGGCGGAACCCAAGGGATGGGTGCTTCGGAGGTTGGGTAGGGGGTGGAGACAAGGGACGGTGCTTGAGGAGGGTAGCCGGGGGTGGGAAACAAAGGATTGTGTTGCGTCGCAACAAACGTGGGTAGGGGGGTGGAGATTAAAGGGACGGTGGCACAGTGGTGTAGGGTAAGGGGGTAGGATACAATGGAACGGTGCATAAAAATCGAGGCTATGGTAGGGGCAAGAAGACATAATACTCAAAGGGGGAGTTTCTGCAACTATTCCTCTGAGAACAAAAAAAATAGCCCCTGGCCTTAAGGTCATATGTAAATCACTATAATGAACTTCTCTTATACTCGGTCTCCTTACGTACTTCACATAGCAGTAATGCATTTATCTCCCCCTTTCCCATTCCGCCTTTTTTGCAATTTCTGTGCAACACACACAGGGCAAAAGCTCATTCAAGTTTACATAGTCTGGCTTAAAAAAAAGACACATGTCCATCTAGTTCAGAACCAATAAAAGTGAAAAAATAGCAATCGTGCCATATACACAATCCCTACACCCCACAGTTGATCCAGAGGAAGGCAAAAAAAAACGCCCATCAAAGTCACTGATCCCCAATTAGCTCCTGCCCTAGGAAAAACAATTCCCTTCCAGATCCCACGGAGAGGCAATCGGATCAAATTATTAACCTATAAATCTTATATCCCCAGTGGGGTCTCTGTAGTATCCAATAAAGTATCCAGGACGTATCCTACAGCAATACCACTGACAGGCCACAATCTACTCGTTTGAGGGATCTCTCTCTTTTTCCACACATTCTCACAGGTTCTCTCCAGTGAAGAAAACTTCGCTCCATGTTTGGATGGGATAAATTTTTCTTTTCTTTTTTTCCCAACGTACAAAGAGCGTGCCCCTGTGTCCTCTGTGATGTAACCTCATGGGGGGATGCTCTACAACCGGAGTTTACACTATATGAACCAACTGAAGTATTTAGTATAGCATGGAGTATCAATGCTTTTATAGCCCCCCTTATCCGTTATTATACATGGAGAATCAAATAGAGCCCCCCCCTTCGACGTTATTATACATGGAGATCACGTATCTTACCCTTATGTGATCAATATCCTCCCTTATGTATTATACACGTGAAAGACCAATGATCCCCCCCCATACGCATTATAACATGGTGGATCATATCCACCCTTATTGACCAATTATACATGGAGAACATATCCCCCCCATTATGTATATATACATGGAGATCATTATCCCCCCCTTAATGTATTTTAACACGGTGAACATAATCCCCCCCCTTATGTATTAAAACATGGAGACAAGATGCCCTTGCCCTTATGTATTATAACCTAGGTGATCATACCCCCCCTTATGAACCACGGATTATATACATGGAGATCATATCCCCCCTTATGTATTAAATCACATGGTGATCATATCCCCCCCTTATGTATTAATACATGGAGATCATGTATCCCCCCTTATGTATAATACATGGTGATCAATATCCCCCCTTATGTTATAACAATGAGATCATGATCCCCCCTTATGATAATACATGGAGATCATAAATCCCCCCCTTAATGTATAATACATGGAGATCATTATCCCCCCTTATGTAATTATAGCATGGAGATCATATCCCCCCTTATGTATTATACATTGGTGATCATATCCCCCCTTATGTATTATTTATACATGGAGATTACAATCCCCCCATATGTATTATACATGGTGATCATACCCCCCTGTATGTATTATACATGGAGATCATATCCGCCCCATATGTATTTATACAATGGTGATCAAACCCCCCCTTATGTATTATTACATGGAGATCATATCCCCCCTTATGTATAATACATGGGATCATATTCCCCCCTTATGTATTATACATGGAGAATCTATATCCCCCCTTATGTATAATACATGGAGAAATCATATTCCCCCCCTTATGTATAAAACATGGAGATCATAATCCCCCCTATATGTAATAATACATGGAGATCATATCCCCCCTTATGTATTATACATGGTGATCATATCCCCCCCTTTATGGTAATAATATCATGGAGATCATATCCCCCCTTATGTTATAAATACATGGAGATCATATCCCCCCCCCTTTTGGTATCTATACATGGAGGATCATATACCCCCCTTATGTAATTAATACATGGAGATCATAATCCCCCCTTATGTATTATTACGATTGGGTGATCATATCCCCCTCCTTAATGTATTATACGCATGGAGATATATCCCCCTTATGTATTATACCATGGAGATCATATCCCCCCTTATGTAAATTATACATGGAGATCATATCCCCTTAGCCCTTATGTATTATACATGGTGATCAAATCCCCCTTATGTTATTTATACATGGAGATCATTTCCCCCCTTATGTATTACACATGGTGATCATAACAAATCCCCCCTGTATTATTACACATGGAGATCATATCCCCCCTTATGTATTATACATGAGATCATATCCCATCCCCCCCCTTATGTTATTATACATGGAGATCATATCCCCCCATATGTATTATACATGGAGATCATATCCCCCTTAATGTATTATACATGGAGATCAAATCCCCCCTTATTTATTATACATGGTGATCATATCCCCCCTTATGTTATTATACATGGAGATGTCTTATCCCCCCTTATGGTTTTTATTAAAATACATGGAGTCATATCCCCCCTTATGTATTATACATGGGAGATCATTTCACCCCTTTATGTATTACACATGTGATCAAATCCCCCTTATTGTATTACACATGGAGATCAATATCCCCCTTAGAGTATGTATACATGGAGATCATATCCCCCCCCATAAGTATTAATACATGGAGATCATACCACCCCCCCCTTATGTATTATACCTGGAGAGATCATATCCCCCTTAAGTATGTATAATACATGGAAGATCATATCCCCCCTTATATAATTATACATGGAGATCAGTATCCCCCCATAATGTATTATACATGGTGATCATATCCCCCCGTAATGTATAATACATGGAGATCATATCGCCCCCCTTATGTATTACCACTATGGTGATCATATCCCCCCTTATGTATTATACATGGTAGATCATATCCCCCCCTTATGTTATTATACATGTGATCATATCCCCCCCCTTATGTATTTATACATGGTGATCATATCCCCCCGTTAACCCACTTTAGGCTGCCAGTGGGGGGTGTTTTACACTCAATCCAGTGGCTACTGCCATCAGGATTGTGTTACACAAGCAATCCGACTGGCAACAGCCATCAGGGGGGGATTCTGAGGGGGGATTGTATCTAAACACCGAGGGATGTGTGCTGCCGCTGGGATTTCTTCACATCCCCCAGTAACGGTGCCCCTCCCACCAGCGCATACTCCCTGCCATGCCCAATGTATCCTGCCCATCTGCGGGCCCCAGGGCCCAGTGCGAAAAAACATGCTGGGTGCCGGGTGGGTGGAGGGGAGAGAGAGGGCAAACACATGTACCGCTCCCCTGCCCCTGCCCCCCCCCCTTCATACAGAAAGCGATATGTATGACGTCACGAATGTTCAAGGAAAAGGAAGTATTGTATTGTGTGCTCTGCATTAATTCTCATTAAAGAGAACCTGTCAACCAAAAAAAATCATCACATAGGGGACTTTGTGTACCTTATGTGATGCCCCCCCTTGGAAAATAAATGCAAAAAATTCCTGCACAGCCATTCACATGGGAAGATTCGTATGCTGCTGTTCCTCCTCCCCCAGCTCTTCTATGTAGTTGAGAACAGAGGGATAATGTGGATCACTTATTTAAAAAAAAAAAAAAAGGAACAATGCCCCACTGTGATAGCATTAGGCTGTGAGAAGAGTTCTTTATGGAGAGATCTGGGATCTATTAGACCCCATATCTCTCCTATGGCCTACGAAGCATCAGATCAGAGTTACAGACCGGTCTTATCAGCTGCTTCACAGGCTGGTAACAGCTTCCGGTTTCTGACGTCGCACAGCGGGAGAATAAACATCAGATCACTTGGTAGAGCCCAGTACAGGCGGTCGTGGGAAGCGGGGAGGGGGGGGGGCCCTTTCACTGCCCGTAAAAAGTAATCCAGTGGCTCTACAACTTCTAGGATTACTTTTTCTTTGAAGGAAATCTCTGGCTGAACAAAATTATATCTTGGTCATTGCTGCAGCTGCATTTAAAGTGTTACTAAACCCCCCAACAATACAATCAGCATTCTGTAGATGCCGTAAAAGCATGCTTGTTATACTCACTGTGGAACCTAAGGGGTTTAATCCTCTGCATTGTGTAAAAAGGCTGTTTGATCCTGTCCTTCTCTGCCCCTCCTCTTGTTGACATGACCACCTGAATACAGACTGAACCCATGGTCACATGCACATGCTTAGTTTTAGTGTGTATTGCTAGAGAGTTTTTTTTTTTCTTGGGAAGTTTACATGTGGATCAGCACAGGGTCAATCAGCACTGTCTAGACAGAGGTCAGGGGTTTCACATCCATGTTGTGTGTATTGTGGGAGACCAGATATAGTGAATGCAGGGTCCGGGGAGAGTGGATATAGTGAATGCAGGGTCCAGGGAGACCAGATATAGTGAATGCAGGGTCCGGGGAGAGTGGATATAGTGAATGCAGGGTCCGGGGAGACCGGATATAGTGGAATACAGGGTCCGGGGAGACCGGATATAGTGAATACAGGGTCCGGGGAGACCAGATATAGTGAATGCAGGGTCCGGGGAGAGCAGAAATAGTGAATGCAGGGTCCGGGGAGAGCAGATATAGTGAATGCAGGGTCCGGGGAGAGTGGATATAGTGAATGCAGGGTCCAGGGAGACCGGATATAGTGAATACAGGATCCGGGGAGACCGGATATAGCGAATGCAGGGTCCGGGGAGACCATGATATAGGGAATGCAGGGTCCTGGGAGACCCGGATATAGTGAATGCAGGGTCCGGGGAGACCGGATATAGTGAATGCAGGGTCTGGGGAGACCAGATATAGTGAAATGCAGGGTCCGGGAGACTGGATATTTTGAATGCAGGGTCCGGGGAGACCGGATATAGTGAATGCAGGGTCCGGGTAGAGCAGATATAGTGAATGCAGGGTCCTGGGAGACCAGATAAGTAATGAATTGCTGGGGGTCCGGGTAGACCAGATATAGTGTGAATGCAGGGTCCGGTGTGAGAGTCCAGATATATAGGGAGATTGAATGCAGGGTCCGGGAGGACCAGATATAGTGAATGCAGGTGTCCCGGGTGGAGACCAGATATAGGTGAAATCAGCAGCAGGGTGCGGGGAGACCAGATATAGTGAATGCAGGGTTCGGGGAGGACCATATATAGTGAATGCGGGGGTCCTCCGCTTTAGTATCACTTTTTTAATCCTTAATGAACATACACATTCATGAACAGAAATTAACCAGTTAGAATTTCTTCTCAAACATAAAGATCATTATCAGGTTGATTTTTTTCTCCCCCAGTTCTCCACACCCATCAATCAGTAGCCCTGTCTGCTCAGTGTATCCCAGGCAATGATACAGTGTGTGATAAATCACACTAAGCTGACAAAGGGAAGCCTGCAGTCACACCAAATAGAGAGGCCCATTGTTACAGATAATATACACCATCAGGCTTCGCTGGCTCACATTTTTTTTCTTCCCTCCATAAAAAAAAAAAAAAAAAAAATAAAATTCGCTCTAAGTAATCACTGATCAAGCATTGTCCTGAATCTCCCAAATATATGTCTACGCCCATAGGAGAACTAATGCAGGGTAAATGCAATGTATTTAGATGATGGTCCTGCTCTCGGGGAGGAATCTGCACCATTCGGAAAAACTATTAGAGTGAGATCAGCTCCACGCTGTAAATCAATAATCATTCATTTCCACCCAGCTCCGTCTAGTGCCACCTGCTGGCATTTTTTTGTGGTTAAAAAAAAAGTGAAAAAGCGAAAGCATTAAAAAAGCGTTATTTAAACGAAAAAACTCGAATGTAATATATTTGCAATACTTGAAAGTGATGGCTACATTATTAAATGTTTTTTTTTGCATGATTTTTTGTTTTACCCTTTGTTTCAGCAGGTGATCCTGTCGTCAGTAAAATACTTTCTGTCCCTTAGGGTGCATTTTTTTCTAAAAAAAATAGCTGCAGGATCTCTCCCCCGTTCTTTGTCTCCCCGCCCCCCCCATCCACCTCCGAGCACAGTCATTTGTGTCCACCCCTAACCTACCCATCTTCCAATACCGCCCCTTTTTAGATGGGTGACAGGAACTTCCCCGTTCTTGTCTCCCCCGCCCGCCCCCCCCCTTCCACCTCCTCGAGCACCGTCAGTATGGTTGTTCCAAACCCCCTACCACATTTTCCAGTACCCCCACGTCCGCCCCCCCGCCCCCTTTTAGAGGGTACATGGACAACTTCCCCGTTCTTGTCTAGCCGGCCCTGTGCCCGCCCCCCCATCCACCTCCGAGCACCGTCAGTTGGTTCCACTGCTCCCTACCCATCTTCCAGTACCCCCGCCCCTTTTAGAGGGTACAGGAACTTCCCCGTTCTTGTCTACGCCCCCCCCCCATCCACCTCCGAGCACTGTCAGGTGCCACCCCCCATACCCACCTCCTAGTACTTAACTGCCCCCCTTTTAGAGGGTGCAGGAACTTTCCCTGTTCTTCTGTCTTGTCTTCGCCCCCCGTGGGTTCCACCACCGAGTCACCGAACAGTTGGTTTCCAGCCCCTACCCATCTCCCAGTACTGTACTGCCCCTTTTAGAGGTTGCAAGGAACGTCCTCGTTCTTGTCTCCTCCCACACCGCCCCCCCATCCACCTCCGAGAAACCGTCAGTAGGTTTCCACCCCCTACCCATTTCTCCCAGTACTGCCCCTTTTAGAGGGTTCAGGAACTCTTCCCTAGTGTCTTCTTGTCTTCGCCCCCCCATCCACCTCCGAGCACTGTCAGTTGGTTCCATTCCACCATCTACCCCACCTTCCCAGTACTGAGCCCCCTTTTTTAGAGAATGCACAGGCCAAGTATACATTTTGTGGGGGGGGGGGGGGGGGGGAGTCAAGTAGTGTGTGTATGGAATTTTGTATTGAGTAGCAAGAAAAGCTAAATAAAAATAAATCCCCTGCCTGCGAGAGAGCCAGCAAAACAGTAGACCCTCTCCACAACAAAATACCCCCCCAGTAACAATAGAGAATCCACACCAGCAATAAATATGCAGTACCTCTCTAGCAAACACAAGCAACTGTAAGGAACCCCCCCCTGAAACATTAAATCCTTTCCAGCAAACAACTGACCATTACAGCAACAATAGACCCCCCCCTCATCAATAAATCCTTTCCATCAACAACTGACTTCCCCCAGCAACAATAGACCCCCCCACCAGCAACAATAGACCCCCCGTCCCGTCAACAGTAAATCCTTTCCAGCAACAACTAACCCCCCCCACCAGCAACAATAGAGGCCCCTCCCCTCAACAGTAAATCCTTTCCCAGCAACAACTGACCACCCACCCAAAATAATAGATCCCCCACCACCAACAACAAAATACCCTACCACCTCAACCAGTAAATCCTTTTCAGCAACAACTGACCCCCGGCAACAATAGGTTTCCCTTCCCCCACCAGCAACAATAGAGACCCCTCCCTCAACAGTAAATCCTTTCCAGCATACAACTGACCAGCCAGAAACAATAGAATTCCCCCAACAACAACTAAAGACCAATCCCGACAACAGTAAATCCTTTCCAGCAACAACTGACCCCCCCAGCAAACAATATAGCCCCCACCAGCAAAATGGACCCCTAGCAACAATTAGACCCCTCCCTCATACAGTAAATCCATTCCAGCAAGAACTGACCCCCACCCATGCAACAATAGATCCCCCCACAGCAACCTAACCCTCACAGGGGCGTACAATCTAAGGTTCCTAACTTCACATTTGGTCACCAGTATGTCTGTGGGGTTAGGCCCACACGGGCACAGGGAGAACATGCCAGCTCCCCAGACAGGTGGTGCTTGTCGTTGGATTTTGAACCAGTGACCCTGGTGTGCCCAAGTGGAGGTGCTAACCATTTAAGTCACTGTGGCTGCCCCCAACTAACAAGGAAAGCAGTAAAACAGATCTCCAGCAGCATTAGAAACCCCCCCTACCCCCAGCAACAATAAGGACTCCTCCAGCAACAATGGACTCCCAAAACAAAATACCACCCCAGCAACAACAGACCCCCCCCCAGCAGCTGCAACAGATCTACCAGCAACCCAGCATCAATAGATAATAGACCTCCTCGCCTCCCTACAACAGTAGATTCCCTTTCAGTAATCAATTGATCCCCAACAACAAGATCCTACATCACTACAATAGAACCTCCCCCAGCAACAAAAGACCACCGACACAGAAATTAGATCCCCTTCAGTGACAAGAGAACCTCAGCAGCAATCACACACACAGGAATAGTGCCTCATCATTGGTAACAGTGGGAGGAATAGTGTCCCATCATTGGTGTCAGTGGGAGGAAAATAGTGGGGCCCCATCATTGGTGTCAGTGGGAGTGGAATAGAGTGTCCCATCATTGTGTCAGTGGGAGTGGGAATAGTTGCCCCATCATTGGTATCATAATTGGGAGGAATAGTGCCCCCATCAGGTGGGTATCAGTGGGAGGAATAGTGCCCCATCTCATAGGTGTCAGTGGGAGGAATAGTGCCCATCATTGGTATCAGTGGGAGGAATAGTAGCCCCATCATTGGTGTCAGTGGGAACAATAGTGTCCTCATCATTGGTGTCAGGTGGGAGGAATAGTGGTCCCATCATTGGTGTCAGTGGGAGGAATAGTTCCCCATCATTGGGTGTCAGTGGGAGGAATAGTGCCCGTGTCAGTGGGAGGAATAGAGTCCCATCATTGGTGTCAGTGGGAGGAATAGTGCCCCATCATTGGTGTCAGTGTGAGGAATAGTGCCCCATCATTGGTATCAGTGGAAGGAATAGTGCCCCATCATTGGTGTCAGGGGAAGGAATAGTGCCCCATCATTGGTATCAGAGGGAGGAATAGTGCCCCATCATTGGTGTCGGTGGGGGAATAGTGCCCCATCATTGGTATCAGAGGAAGGAATAGTGCTCCATCATTGGTGTCAGTGGGAGGAATAGTGCCCCATCATTGGTATCAGAGGAAGGAATAGTGTCCCATCATTGGTGTCAGTGGGAGGAATAGTGCCCCATCATTGGTGTCAGTGGAAGGAATAGTGTCCCATCATTGGTAATAGTGGGAGGAATAGTGCCCCATCATTGGTGTCAGTGGATGGAATAGTGTCCCATCATTGGTTTCAGTGGGAGGAATAGTGTCCCATCATTGGTATTAGTGGGAGGAATAGTGTCCCATCATTGGTGTCAGCGGGAGGAATAGTGTCCCATCATTGGTATTTAGTGGGAGGAATAGTGTCCCATCATTGGTGTCAGTGGGGAGGAATAGTGTCCCATCATTGGTGTCAGTGGGAGGAATAGTGCCTCATCATTGATGTCAGTGGGAGGAATAGTTCCCCATCATTGGTGTCAGTGGGAGAAATAGTTCTCCATCATTGGTGTCAGTGGGTGGGGAATAGTGCCCCATCATTGGTATCAGTGGAAAGAATAGTTCCCCATCATTGGTGTCAGTGGGAGGAATAGTTCCCCATCATTGGTGTCAGTAGGAGGAATAGTGCCCCATCATTGGTGTCATTGGAAGTAATAGTGCCTCATTATTGGTGTCAGTGGGAGAAATAGTGCCCCATCATTGGTGTCAGTGGAAGCAATAGTGCCCCATTATTGGTGTCAGTGGGAGGAATAGTACCTCATCATTGGTGTCAGTGGGAAGAATAGTGCCCCATCATTGGTGTCCGTGGGAGGAATAGTTCCCCATAATTGGTGTCAGTGGGAGGAATAGTTCCCCAGCATTGGTGTCAGTGGGAGGAATAGTGCCTCATTATTGGTGTCAGTGGGAGGAATAGTGCCTCATTATTGGTGTCAGTGGGAGGAATCATGTCTTGAATCATTCAGAAGTATAGTGCCCCAAGCGCCAGATGAAGGCTGGCAAAGGCCACAGTTTGGAGACCTCTGCATTACATGAACATTAATACAGCCTTCTATCTGTAAATCATTGAACATCATTTGTGTTGTACACACGTGGTCTGTTCATTAAACTCTTGTACATCTCCCAGCAGATGGCGGTGCCATATAGATGAATAGTAATGATAATGGTGGCGGCTCACGTATACAACTTTAAACCCTAGAAGTTTCTTCTCCATTCCCCGTGTTGCTCCTTTCTCAGACTGTCAATAATTGAAACGTTTAAAACGATCGGTTTGGGAGCTTTGTAAAACTTTGATGAAAGGCATCTGTTGTGGATGGTACATAATTAAACGTCACTAATTATTGATGGCTTACACTGGTATGGATAATTCATCAGTTGTTATGGCGGACGGTTCATTGGGGTTGGGCTATTATATCCATGAGTGAGGAGGGATGAAGTTGGCTTTGCAAGGCATCCTGTATCTCCTAATGTATATCTGAGCTGACAAAGTCAAAGGATCTTATTACTCAGTTGGCTGCCAATTAGAGACATTTTGTGACATTGCGTCATAGGTGACCTGGCGAGGTGTGTAGTGCCGCTCAATGCTAGAGGCATAGAACGCTTCCCCGCTGGGAGCCGGTGCCGGGTTACTCTGATCCAGGAGTGCCGGTATGGAGGGAGTAACATGCCGCTCTGCCGGTCACGATGCCAGTGAAAGTGTATGGCCTCAGCCAATCCATCAATACAGCCCCACCTAGTAAGCTCTTTTCCCCTTCCAGTACAGCTCTCCCTGCAGAACAGCTCCCCCTCCAGCACAGCTCCCCCCCCCCCTCCAGCTTTCCCCCTCCAGCACAGCTCCCCCCCCCCCCCCCCCAGTACAGCTCTCCCCCTCCAGCACAGCTCTTCCCCCCACCCAGTACAGCTCTCCCTTACAGAACAGCTCTCCCCCTCCAGCACAGCTCCCCCTCCCCAGTGCAGCTCTCCCTGCAGAACAGCTCTCCCCCTCCAGCACAGCTCCCCCCCCAGTGCAGCTCTCCCTGCAGAACAGCTCTCCCCCTCCAGCACAGCTCCCTCCCCCCCCCCCAGTAAGGCTTTCCCCTCCAGCACAGCTCCCCCCCTGCAGTACAGCTCTCCCCCTCCAGCACAGCTCCCCCCCCACCCAGTACAGCTCTCCCCACAGAACAGCTCTCCCCCTCCAGCACAGCTCCCCCCCCCCACCCAGTACAGCTCTCCCCACAGAACAGCTCTCCCCCTCCAGCACAGCTCCCCCCCCCAACTATAGCTTTCCCCCCAGAACAGCTCTCCCCCTCCAGCACAGCTCTTCCCCCCACCCAGTACAGCTCTCCCTTACAGAACAGCTCTCCCCCTCCAGCACAGCTCTCCCCCCCCCCCCCCACCCAGTACAGCTCTCCCCACAGAACAGCTCTCCCCCTCCAGCACAGCCCCCCCCACACTATAGCTTTCCCCCCAGAACAGCTCTCCCCCTTCCAGTACAGCTCTTTTCCCTCCAACACAGCTCTCCCTCTTCTAGTACAGCCCTCCTCCTCAGTACAGCTATCCCCCAATACAGTTCTCCCCCCTCCGGTAAAGCTATTGTTCCTCCAGTACAACTCTCTCATTTCCAGTACAACTCTCCCTCCTCAGCACAGCTCCTATCCCCAGTATAGCTCTTCCCCCAAGTACAGCTCTTATTCCCAGTACAGCTCTCCCCCCCCCCCCTCCTCAGTACAGCTCTCTCCCCCCCAGCACAGTTTCCCTTCAGTATCACCCCCCCCCCCTCAGTACAGCTCATCCCCCTCAGCACAGCCCGCCACCAATACCACACCCCCCCTCAGCACAGCTCCGCCCCCCCACACAGTACTGCTCTCCATCGCTAGTAGGGTGTAACCACTTAGTACCGCTCTATTCCCCCAGGACAGCTCTGCTATCTATCTATCTATCCATCCATCCATTATCTATCTATCTATCTATCTATCTATCTATCTATCTATCTATCCATCTATCTATCCATCTATCTATCTATCCATCCATCCATCCATCCATCCATTATCTATCTATCTATCTATCTATTATCTATCCATCCATCCATCCATCCATTATCTATCTATCTATCTATCTATCTATCTATCTATCTATCTATCTCTATCCATTATCTATCTATCCATTATCTATCTATCCATTATCTATCTATCTATTATCTATCTATCTATCCATCATCTATCTATCCATCTATCTATCTATCCATCTATCTATCTATCCATCTATCTATCTATCCATCATCTATCTATCCATCATCTATCTATCTATCTATCTATCTATCTATCTATCTATCTATCTATCTATATATCTATCTATATACTATATATTGTGGCAGTGCGGTGTCCTGCCACGGCCAAAATAAAGCTGAAAACCCTGGATTCTCAACCAGGCAGGTTGAGGGGCTCCAGAGAGTTGATGGATTGCAGAGGAAACTGGCTTTTCAGTTTCCTCATTTACTCATTAAGTCTGTTTTGGGATCTGGAGCCTGGAGATTTCAAAGAGATCTGGGAGGGATGAAATCTCCAATCCGGGGTCCGTGTTTTGAGAACCCCCAGCACACTGATTGCACAGGTGTGTGCAGGCCTTTTAGGGGAAGCCAGGCCATGATTCTGGGCTCCACCCCGGCAGTTAGGAGGGCTCCACCCAGGCAGACGGAGGTCTCTGCCGTGGAGTCAGGTGGGCTACACCTAGGAGAGGTGGAAGCCAGACTAGCTGTGTGCTAGTGACATATTTTGGGAAGAGTCTGCAGGAGGCAGACTTAAAACTGCGTACAAGCCAGGAGGCTGAATATTGTTAATTTACTTGATGGTGGATACCCCTGCGTGGGAAGCATTTCTGTTTTGAACTTTCTTAAATAAAAGTGGGCTAAAAAGGCCCTTAAAGAAAGCGAGTAGCTGTGTGTGTTTTGAAGAAGAGCTCTACCACTTAAAGCGAGTTCCCACATATGGTGGAGGATGCGGGCAGAACTAGAGATCCCAGCAAGGAAGTAGGTTCATGTGTTGAACTGTGTTTGGTGCATGACTCTGCACTATCTGTGTGTGCAGGTGAGGAGATCCTGCAGAGAAAAGGAACTTGCCTTAAAGAGACAGTGCTCCATTGTGTACCTGGACTGTGCAAAAGTGTTGTGGAGTGACTGCAAAGATGGGGCGGTCAAAACTCAAAAAAGAAGCAAGATTTTCTGAAATGAGAGACAGAGCCCTGTGGCTGGAGGGGTTGTTACCACCAGAACAAGCCCCATACATGGCTGCACAGAGTTTGCCACAGTGGGAAGTGCATGCTGTTGTCCCTGGCAACGCTGGTGAAAGGAAACCAGTTTTCTGTGTGCAGAGTACTAAGCCTGAAAGAGGATGCAGTGTTGGAAGTTCGGCCAAGATACTGCCGCAAGAGTGCTGTTTGCGGTGCAGTGAATGGGGGCACACTGTCTCCAAGTGCCCATTATCCCAGCTTCCAGTACAAGGTGACACAACCAGACAAAGGTCTGGGTATACAAATGGGAAGCCTGCTTGGAGTTCCAGGAAGGAGCAGCAGGTTGCCCAAAAGTTTCAGAAGGATGTGGTTGCCCATAGCAACACATGTAACTTCAGACCTGCGGACCCTGTGAGAGAAGTGTCGTCTGCAGAGGATTGTGGCAACGCAGAGATGAGAGTTCAGCGTCTCCATGAGCTGGCCTCCATCTTGGTTTTCTGCAAAGCATGGTGGGAACCTTTATGCCTTCAGGCTTCTGCGGCTCCTCCTCAGAAGGGTGTGGTTGAGCACATTTAAACCTGCTGTCTGCAAGTGTGCTCTGCACTTGTGTCCTGTATGTTGCCCTGTTGCAAGCTCTTGTGTTGTTCCCATTGCTCTCCTGGTAACCGACTCGGCTTGGACAAGACTACTCTCTGCGTTAACCCTTTATCTGACCTCCCGTTGTTGAACCCGGCCCGTGACCTGAGTATTCTTTGCCTACCGTCTAGTACTGTCTGCTCATTGTTATTGACCCGGCTTGTCTGACTACTCTACTCGTGATCCCATCTAGCTCCCACCAGCTGTACGCCATTGGCGGCAGTCGTTATCGCAGCTGGGGTCACTCGGGGGGCCGCGACCTGGTCTCAGGCTGCGTCAAGTCCATCCCCCCACCATCAGGGGCCCTGGTGAAGGGTAGCCTGGGGCTTAGACTCCGCGCCCTGAGGGACTCTGGTCTGTGGGTAGTGGCTGTCGTCAGTCGCAGCGTGACCGTACCATAGGCCTGCCTGCCCATTCCATCGTTCCTGCCCTGACATTACACAAGTGCCATGAATCCTGACGGTGCAGGTACGCCTTCGATCCCTATGTTACTCGCCAGACTTGACCAACAGGATCGCTTGTTGGATCAGTTCGCTCAGGCGTTGCAGGCTCTGCTTGCACGCACAGCGCACCTTACCCCTGGGGCTATTAGGTCAGTTGTTACTCCGGTGGACTCTCCCACTGTTGCTCCGGTTGTTGCACCTACCTCTGCATCTGTTGCGGAACCCGCGGTACCCAGAGGTATGACTGGTTCTGCCCCTCTTCCTCAGCGCTTTGGGGGGGAACCGAGTCAGTGTCGTGGTTTTCTTAACCAAGTGGGGATTTACTTTGAATTAATACCTCACGCTTTCCCTACTGAGAGGGCAAAAGTGGGGCTTCCTAATCTCGCTACTCTCTGATAGGGCCTTGGCCTGGGCTAATCCCTTATGGGAGAGGAATGACCCGGTGATTCACGTGTTTACCCGTTTCGTTGCCTCCTTCCGTACGGTATTCGACGTACCCGCTCGCTCCGCTTCTGCTGCCAAATTGCTCATGTCCATGCATCAGGGTTCACGAACCGTTGCCGAGTACGCCATCGAATTTCGTACTTTGGCGGCAGAGGTGGGTTGGAACAATGAGGCTCTAGTGGCTGCTTTCTCTCATGGTCTCTCTGATGCGTTGAAGGACGAGATCGCAGCCAAAGAACTGCCTGTGGAGTTAGAGGCACTCATCTCCTTCCTAATCTTGATTGACACCAGGCTCAGAGAGAGGCCTTCATTTAAGGAGCGGCTGCGGAGGCCTCCTAACCGTTTGGCGCCTACGTTTTCTGTCCCACCCGTGCCTCCCTCTCCTCCCACGCCTCCTGGGGATGGTTTGTCTGGTAGTGAGCCCATGCATGCAGCTGGGGTTTGCTCGCCTTTCCGAGGGGGAGCGGGCCTCTCGGCGTCGGGAGGGTCGCTGCCTGTACTGTGGACTCGGGGGGCATTTTCGGCAGTCCTGTCCGGTCCGTCCGGGAAACGCCCGCACCTGAGATCCTGTCGGGGGCAGATCTTGGGTGGAGTTTCCTCGTCCCCGGTTTCCCGTAAAGATAAACCGCTTATCACCGTTGTCCTCTCTTGGGCAGGAGGCTCGGTGACGGCCCAGGCGCTGGTAGACTCTGGGGCTGGCGGTTTGTTTATGGACAGTTCGTTTGTGGCCCAGTACTCCATTCCTCTGCAGGCTCGAGAGACTCCATTGGTTCTCGAGGCGATAGATGGCAGGCCCTTGCAGCCATCGCAGGTTACCCACGAGACCCTGCCGGTGGAGGTAGCTATTGGGGCTGTTCACAGGGAATTGGCCTGTTTCCAGGTAATTTCTTCCCCGCACTACTCCGTGGTTTTGGGCTATCCCTGGCTTCAGAGGCACAATCCGACCTTTGATTGGCGATCGGCCGAGATTCTCTCATGGTCACCACGGTGTGGGGCTGGTTGCATCCGTGGTCCGGTTAAGGTGCTGTGCACCTCCTCGGACTCTGTGCTGCCCACTGAATATGGGGAGTACCTGGACGTGTTTGACAAGGTGCGCGCCGGTGCCCTGCCTCCTCATCGTCCATACGATTGTGCCATAACCTTACAAACTGGTGCTACTCCTCCGCGTGGCAGGGTGTATCCTCTTTCGGTGGCAGAGAATCAGGCCATGGAGGAATACGTTGCGGATGCGCTTTCCCGGGGGCACATTCGCAAGTCTACGTCTCCAGCAGGAGCTGGGTTTTTTTTTTTGTGAAAAAGAAGGGAGGTGAGCTGAGACCCTGCATTGATTTTAGGGGTCTCAATCGGATCACGATTAAAAATGCTTATCCTATTCCGTTGATCACCGAGTTGTTTGACCGCCTCAAGGGAGCAACGGTCTTTACTAATCGACCTTAGGGCTGCCTACAACCTTGTACGGATCAAGGAGGGCGATGAGTGGAAGACCGCGTTCAACACCAGAACCGGCCACTATGAATACCTGGTTATGCCCTTCGGGTTGTGTAACGCACCCGCGGTCTTTCAGGAGTTTATTAACGATGTCTTACGTGACTTGTTGCAGCAGTGCGTGGTGGTTTACTTGGACGACATCCTGGTTTACTCTGCGTCTATGGAGACTCATATCCAGGATGTTAAGCGGGTGCTGCAACGGTTACGTGAAAACGAGCTTTTCTGTAAGCTCGAGAAGTGTGAATTTCACCAATCCCAGGTTGCCTTTTTAGGCTACATCATTTCCCCGATGGGTTTTTCTATGGACCCTGAGAAGGTTTCAGCGGTTCTGCAGTGGCCTCGTCCCAGTGGTCTTCGGTCCATTCAGCGCTTTTTGGGATTTGCCAACTATTATCGGAAGTTTATCAGGAACTTTTCCACATTGGCAAAGCCTCTCTCAGATCTGACCAAGAAGGGCAGTAACCCTCACGAGTGGTCACCCGAGGCCATCTCAGCTTTCAAGGCTCTGAAAGCCGCCTTCACTTCGGCCCCAATTCTGTCTCATCCCAATCCTGGGTTGCCTTTTGTTCTCGAGGTTGATGCATCTGAGACAGGAGTAGGCGCCCTCTTGTCCCAGCGTCGGTCACCCGAGGGACCCCTACTTCCTTGTGGGTTCTACTCCAAGAAGCTTTCCTCTGCAGAGTGCAACTACCAGATTGGAGACAGGGAGTTGTTGGCCATTATTCTGGCTCTCAAGGAATGGAGGCACCTGCTTGAGGGTTCTGTGGTCCCGGTCCTAGTTCTCACTGACCACAAGAACCTCACATATCTCTCGGAGGCTAAGAGGTTGACACCCCGTCAGGCCAGGTGGGCTCTGTTTTTGTCACGTTTTAACTATGTGGTCTCTTACTTGCCTGGTTCCAAGAATGTCAGGGCTGATGCCTTGTCGCGGCAATACTCTGAGCTGTCCAGGGAGGACACTGAGCCGACCTCGGTCATTCCTCCAAACCAGATCCTGGCTGCCATTCGTACCAACCTGACTTCTCCCCTTGGGGAGCAGATTTTGGCGGCTCAAACTAACGCTCCCCCTGAGAGACCTGCTGGAAGATGTTTTGTACCTGAGGGATTGCGTACCCGCTTGCTACGTACCTACCATAATGCCAAGACTGCCGGTCATCCTGGTAGGAACCAATTGTCCTGGGTCGTTTCTCGGTTATTCTGGTGGCCATCTCTCCGTTCTGACATCGCCTCATATGTAGCAGCTTGTTCGGTCTGTGCCCAGAATAAATCTCCTCGGCACCTTCCATTGGGCCTTCTGCAACCCATTCCCAATGGGGAGCGTCCCTGGTCACACCTGGGAATGGATTTTATTGTGGATCTTCCTGCGTCTCAAGGTCATACGGTCATTCTTATGGTGATCGATCGTTTTTCTAAGATGTGCCATTGCGTTCCATTCAAGAAATTGCGACTGCACAGGAACT